ACGGGGCCTCGCGCGGCACAATTGAGGCCGCCTTCAGGCGCCAGTCCCTAGTCTACCATCCAGACAGGACTCCCGCGCACCTGGGCGCCGACGAGCGAGCAGCCCGCGCGCTGAAGTGGAAGCAGCTCTGTGACGCCAAGTCAGTGTTGCTCCAGGCCGTCTCGCAGGCCGCCGCGCCGCCCGATGTTCCTAGCACGGGCGGCGACGGCCCTGCCGCCCGCGCCTACGCCCGGGCCAAGGCGGCAGGAAAGGGCGCCCGCAAGGGCAAGCTGGCTCCAGGGTCGACCATGGCCCTTCAGGCACTCGAAGAGGCGGTCTCCTCGCGGGTCGCCCTTGCGAGCGCCGAGCTGGCCCCTCGGGCTGCCCTCCCCGCCTCGGGCGCGCCTCTCCCGAGGGGCGGGGTTTCGTCTGCCCTCGCGACGCGGGCGGCTGAGTCGGATGCCACCCTCGTCTCCGCCGTGTCGCGCGGCCGCGTGGAGCTCGACGCACTCCGCACCGCGCGTGCCGACGCCACCAGGCGCACGGTGCAGGCTCCTGCACGCGGCGAAGGAGAGCGTGCCGTCGCTCGTGCCGAGCTCGCGGAAGGGATGGCCGATCGCGCCTACTTCCGACGCGTGCGCGAGGCCGCCAGTCGAGAGGCCGCGGGCTTGCCGCGCACTGCTCCCGTCCAGCTGGGTCGGGATTGGCGCAAGACCTTGCGCGCCGTCCTGCACAACGCTGAGGTCTCGACGGGCCTCGCCATCGCAGAACGTGCCGCTCGTGCTGGGGACGCACCCGCGTCGTCCACTGGCCGCTCCTTGGCCGAGGTGGAGGCTGAGGACCCGCGCGCCTTGGCAAGGCCCGCCGACGACCCTGCGTCCAGCTTCAGCCGTCGTGAGCGGCGCGCGGTCCGCGCCCGCCTGGGCCCGCGGGATGAAGCGGTCGAGGACCAGCCCAACCGCGGTGGTCACGCGCCGCACTCCGCCTCGCGCACGGGCGCCGCGCGCACCAGGCGCGCCGCCAGGCAGCGGCGGGCTTCGATGGCGGCGCCCCCCGCCCCTGAGGGGGGGGCCGCCACGGCGCCTGGCCGCAGGGCGCGTCGCACTGCCAATGCGCGCCGCTGGGCAGGCGCGGCACGCCCCAGCTCCGCCGCGGGAGTGGGCTCCCCACCGCGGAGCCGCAGCCCTGCCCGCAGCCGTACGCGGTCTCCAAACCCGTACGGGACCGACCGCACCTCTCCCTCGGGGGGCTGCTCGTCGCCTCCCGTCGACGGCCCGATCTCGCCCGAGGAGCCGTCGGAGCCGCCTGCGGGGGAGGCATCGGAGGGCCCGCACACTCCTGACGGGTCCCCGCCCGCGAGCGTTCGCAGCCGCTCGAGAGCGGAGCCCGCGTGCGACGAGGACTCTCCGACGGAGCTCGAGGACGTCGTGCTGAGTGCCCTCGCAGACTCCTCGATGGACCTCGAGCGCGTCGTAGCGGGCCTGAACCCCGAGGTCCTCCGCCGCCTGCAGGCGGCTTTCCCTCGCCGCTCGGGGGCCTCTCCGCCCGCCGCTCGGGCCTCGGCTCGCAGTCGCTCTCGGGGCCGCGGCACGCGTCTAGGCTCCGAGACTCCGCGGCCCGTGCCCCCGCCGCCGCCGCCGCCCCCTCACCACTCTGGTGGGCGTGCGGCGTCGCGATCCCGCGCGTCGACCGCAGGCCAGGGGCTTAGTCGGGCCGTCGCGCGCGGCTCCTCTCGCGCGCCTTCGCGTCAGGCGACGTCGCCTCGGCGTCGCGAGGTGCGCTCCCCTCGAGTCGCTCCGAAGCGGCGCCCGAGCCCCGCTACTGCGCAGCGGCCAGCCACGTCCCGCCATGATGCGAGCTCGGGCGACGCCCACGCAGGCAGCTCCCGCGCGGACTCCGCTGCTCAGGCCCCTCCGTCTTCGGTAGGCACGCGCTCCTCCAGCGATGCTGTTGCGGCCCCGCAGGGCGGAGGGCGTGCCGCCGAGGAAAAGGGGGTCTTCGAGCGGCCCCGCGCCTGGCCGAGATTCAGGGCACGAGCTGCATCCCAGCGGCCCCCACAGCGGCGACGCTGGGAGCGCCGCGGCTGCAGCCTTCGCAGCGCGGCGCACGGCCTCCGCGGCCGTTGAGCAGCCCTTGCCTCCAGGGGCCGCCACCGCCCTAGCGTGGCGTCTCAACCTCGGCGGTGAGAAGGTCACAGTGGTGAGGTGGGGACCCGCCTGGCAAGCTGCCTTCCAGAGCGCGGCGTCGTGGCTGAGGTCTTTCGCACCCGCAGGGGCCGCCGAGCCCGAGGGCAGAGATGACCTGCACTGCCTCCTGCAGGCCTTGCACGCCTATAAGCGCCTGTTTCAGACAGGCGGCGCCGAGCCGATCGACGAAGCCTCGTGGTTGCATCCTTACGTGGCCGCCGTCGAGCCCGAGGCTATCCCCGCGGGCGCTGACCTCCAAGCCATGGGGGCGGGCGCCATCCGTGGCATCGGGCTCGGCTCAAAGATCGAGCACAGGAGGCGCGCGGGCAAGTTGGCCTGCCTTTTCGACCTTCTGTACCACGTGCAGGACGGTCACGGCGCCATCCCAGCAGCGCTGTGGGGATCTCATTCCCCTCCGTCCGAGATCCTCGACGCGTTCGCGGAGGTGGTGCCCGTTCCACATCATTCGGGCCTCACGTCCTCGGCAGCTCGTTCCGAGCTCGCCGAATCGGCCGCAGCTGCGCGCGCCGAGCCGCGCCCGCCCTTTGACTGGGCGACCCTCGAGGGAGGGGGCGCTCTGCCCGCCGACATCGAAGCAGGGGCTCGCCGTGCTCACCGTAACATGGGCGGATCCTTCACCTCGGCGCGGGCGATGCTGGCGGAGGCGTCGGGGTTCGAGACCGACGGGCGGGACACCCTCGTTCCGCCCTTCTACGCGTCCAGGAGCAGGAGGGCCGCCACGCTGATCAGCTCTCCCAGCCCTGGCCGCCCTGCGCTCATCCTGTGGTGCGTCTGCGGCCTCTGCATCTCTCTGGGAGCCGCGGCGCCGACCGCAGGCCAAGGGCTTAGTCGGGCTGCGCCTTCTGCGCCCGCTCGCCCTCCGCGCGCTCCCTTCGTGCGCGATTCTCACCTCACCTCCGCGTATCTCGATCGTCGCTCGAGATCGATTGATGCGTTCGAACTGTGGTTAGCAGAACACACTGGCGTGCCGCCCGCCACTCTTTACCGTAGCGGGCTACTTCTCGCCCGCTTCCTCGCGACCTTCGGCGTGTGGCTTCATGATGCAGGTTTCCCTCATTATATTCTGGTTCATGCCATCTTGGGAATCCAGAGCGCTCATCCGCATTGGAAGGCCTTTCTAACAGAAGCTTGGGACGTAGCGAGACAATGGAAGCTCGCGGAGCCGCCAAAGCTCCGCCCGCCCTTACCTCGCGCTCTGCTGCGCGCTATGGTCGGTCTCTGTTTCGCCTGGGACTGGCCTGTGATGGCGGCCTTGCTGCTCATGGGCTTTACGATGTTCCTCAGGCCTGGCGAGCTGCTGGCGTCACGCCGCTGTGACTTGTCGCTTCCTTGCGACCGCCTCGAAGTTGAAGGGGATGCTTTTCTTTCGATTCTTGTTCCAAAGACCAGGAGAACGCACCCGACGCAGCATGCTCGCTGCTCCGATCGGGGCACGGTGAAGATTCTGAATCAAGTGTTTGGGCGGTTGGCTTCCACCGATCCTCTCGCCCCTTTCGGTGCGAGCGGCTTCCGTACTCGGTGGAATCATTTGCTTTCGGCCCTGGGCGTCCCTCTTGCCAAAGCGGGTCAGGGGCTCAACCTGACGCCCGCATGTCTGCGGGGCTCTGGCGCAACAGACTTCTATATCGCTACGGAAGACGTCCCTCGCGTCTTCTGGCGGGGGCGTTGGCGTCAGGCTTCCAGTGCTGAGCGCTACCTGCAAGCCGCCGCCGCTTCCACAGTTCTTGCTGCGCTGCCCGTGCCCGCACGGGCGCGGATCCTGTTCTTCGCCACCGCCAGCGACCGCCTTGTCGCTTCATTTCTCCAAGTCGGCCCCGCCGCTTGGCCTGCCCTACTTGCGGCCGCCCGCCGAAACCTTGTCACTTCGCAAGGTCCTTGAGCACGGGCATGGCTGCCTCGCCGTCGTCGGCGAGCAGGCGGTCTCCCCCGCCTGACGCGCGGCGCCCCGGCACGAGCGCGCGGGACGGGCCTGCCCATTTTGGGCCGCCCCGCGCGCGCGAGCCGCGGCCGCGCTCGGAGACAGCTCGCTAGCGCGCGAGCGGGAGAATGCCTCTTCTATTCTCTGTGAGCAAGCTCCTGCTGTCTCCGCAGCTTCTCTGCCCCCCTCCCTCCTCTCCCAATCTAAGGCTGATGGGCGCTGCCTCGCCGTCGTCGGCGAGCAGGCGGTCTCCCCCGCCTGACGCGCGGCGCCCCGGCACGAGCGCGCGGGACGGGCCTGCCCATTTTGGGCCGCCCCGCGCGCGCGAGCCGCGGCCGCGCTCGGAGACAGCTCGCTAGCGCGCGAGCGGGAGAATCCTTCTCCTCCTCCCCCCTCTCCTACTCATGGTAGTGGTGGTGAGAAACCGGCCCATCATGCCAAGCCCTTCTGGACTGCGCTGTATTGGGTAGTCCTCCGCAGCTGACGCTGTCGAAACCCGCCCTGTTGATCGGCAGCAGGTGGCACGCGTGGCTGGCGCGGTTGTTCACCCACGCGTGCATGATGCCGCAATCGCACCCCTGGTCGATGTCGCAGACGCGAGAAATCCTCGTCCTGTGGGGGAAGTTGTTCCCAGCGCAACGCGCTCCGCCGACGGCGGTGGCGCGCCGAGTCCAGCCCCCCTGGGCCCCGGCGCGGCGCCGCAGCAGCCTGGGGCCTCAGGACCTTCATCACTCCTCCTCCTCCTCCTCCTCCTCCTCCTTGTCCTCCTGCCTTCGTCCTGTGCGTTGCTTCCCAAGCCACCACTCCTCCTTCACTCTTCCTCCTCCCTCCTTTCTCTCCCCCATTTCCGCCCCCGCCTTGGTGGAGCACCCCCTCCCGCACGCATTTCGCGCCAGGTCAGAATGCTGATGAGGCTCCACGACGAAGCGCCAGGCGGGCCGGCCCTGGCGCCATATTGACCCACTGAACCCCCTCGGCGGCGTCGCCGTCGCCGCCTCGATACTCCGCGGAAAGTCGTAGAGCCCAATGCGGCTGCACAGCAGAGGAAGAGCTGGTGGCGGAAGTGAAGGAAAGTCCGATGCATGTCTTCGACAGCCTCCTTGAAGCCAGCGGTGCTCCCAGCTTCGAGGGTTCTCACAAGCAGGCGTTCCGCAAACAAGCAGGCAAACAGGCGAATGATGGAGATAGCAGGTCTGAAGGTCAGAGAGGGGCAGGGTCCATTTCGATCCGACCGATCCGGTTCGATTCCGGCCGACCCGGTCGGATTCGATGCCGCTATCCCGACGCTCTGAAGCGGCTTGATGTTTTCACGGCGGTGTTTGCGCATCCCGGCGCAGCCGATCGGGTTTGGTTTCGGTTCCGATGCGACCTGATCCGATGCGCTCTTCGATTCGATCCGATCTGCCGATTCGATGCTGACTGATATTGTCGCCAGGCCGCAACCGTGTGAAAGAAGGAAGACCTCGGGTGGGGCTACGGCGAGGATCAAAATCCGCTCCAGAGCGTTCCGGAACGCTCCCAGAGCGCTCCGGGGCGCTGTGGGAAGGCCGCCGCGCCCGAGACCTCCTACAGAGTCTCCAGATTTCAGAGATCCCAGACCCCCGACGTCATGACTTTTCAAAGACGTGGACACCCAGCGGTCTGGACCCATGACCCAGGACCAGTTTTTTGTCCTGAATCGTTTTTAGATAGTCTCGAGGGCCAGTGAGAGCCCCCAGAGGCCGAAGATAGCGACAAAAGCACTCCTCCTCGCCGTGATATTGTTTCATGACCCGACGGTGTCTGGGATTCTCGATGCATCCTCGCCCGATTTCGTCCTCGTCCTGGTGTCGTCTTGTGGGAGGCCTGTGGCGGCCCCTGGCGCCGCCCGAGCCGCACGTCCTCGGCGGGCCTCGCCTCCCGCGGAGGGCCCTCCTGGGAGGCCGCGGAGCCCCTCCTCTCGGCACGGCTGCTCGCGGGCCTCCTCCTCCTTCTCCTCCTTCTCCTCCTTCTCCTCCTCCTTCTCCTCCTCCTCCTCCTCCTCCTAGTCGGCGTTGGAGGCTCAGGCACTTTGAGAACCGACTGAGAGAGGAGTTGATGTCTCGCTCACACGACGACCGCCCCGCAATCGCACGGGCCAGAGAGGGAGCTATGGGGGGCATGGCAGAGGGATGGCGATTGCAGTGCTCTCGATATGTGCGTTGATGAAGATGGTCAGAGTGAGGGGGCCGAACGGTCATTCACTGTCCCTGGGTGCGTGGCTGAAGTGAGATTCCGCGGTGCGGATTCGTGTTGTTGTTGTTGTTGTTGTTGTTGTTTGTTGTTGTTGTTTGTTGTCGTCGTCCCACCCGCAACCCGCCCCGCGACCCACCGGCGACCCACCCCGCGACTCACCCGCGACCCACCCGCGACCCACCTGCGACCCACCCGCGACCCCCACCCCGCGACCCACCCCGCGACCCACCCTGCGACCCACCCGCGACCCACCCGCGACCCACCCGCGACCCACCCCACGACCCACCCCGCGACCCACCCGCGACCCACCCGCGACCCACCCGCGACCCACCCCGCGACCCGCCCGCGGCCCACCCCGCGACCCACCCGCGACCCGCCCGCGACCCACCCGCGACCCACCCGCGACCCACCCACCCCGCGACCCACCCGCGACCCACCTTCGACCCAAACCACGTTCAAGGTACAAACCAACATTTTCGGCGCCTGCGGCGGGCTTTTTTTGCATTCCTTCCAGGTGGAGAGCCCGCGACCCACCCCGCGATCAACTCGCGACCAACCCGCGACCCAAACCACGTTCAGGGTACAAACCACATTTTTCGGTGCCTGCGGCGGGCATCTTTTGCATTTGTTCTAGGTGGAGAGACCGCGGCCCACCCGCGACCACGTTCAGGGTACAAACTACATTTTTCGGCGCCTGCGGCGGGCATCTTTTGCATTCGTTCCCGGTGGAGAACCCGCGGCCCACCCGCGACCCAAACCACGTTCAGTGTACAAACCAAATTTTTCGGCGCCTGCGGCGGGCTGCTTTTGCAGGAGGACGAGGAGGAGAAGGAGGATGAGGATGAGGAGGAGGAGGAGGAGGAGGACGAGGACGAGGAAGGGGACGACGACGACGTCGACGACGACGACGACGAAAAGGAGGAGGGGGGAGGATCGGGAGGGGGGGAAGAGGAGGAGGACGACGAGGAGGAACATGACGACAATGGGAGGACGATGATGGAAGGACGAGGGGGGCAGAGGGAGGACGAGGAAGAAGCGGAGGAGGAGGAGGAGGAGGAGGAGGAGGAGGAGGAGGACGACGAGGTGACGATGAGGACGAGGACGAGGACGAGGAAGAGGAGGAGGAGGAGGCGGAGGAGGAAGAGGAGGAGGAGAAGGAGGAGGAGGAGGAGGAGAGCGCCATCGACAGGGAAGGTGGGGGCCACGAGGTCCGCCGGCTTGACGACGCCCGCGTCGCCCGCGCCCGCCCCCTCACTCTTATCCGCAATTGCGGGGTGCTACGGTATTCTATAATCCGCTGGCGGCGAATACGACGGACAGGCTGGAAGAAGTAAGCAGTGCACTACGACAGTGGGATGTGATTGTGCTGACAGGGACTCACCAGTGGGCTGGACCAGAACCGATGAAGAAGACGAATCACAGATGTCATACTGCTTTGCAGTTCGGGGCAAAGAAGGGATAATGGATCAACAAGTCATGTGGTACGACGCTCTTGGTATCAAACGAGATGATGAAACAAATAAGGCCTTCCACACACAGTACTCACCCCCAGCCCAACAAGGTAGAACGGCGGGGATCAGACTGCGGACGAGAGCACACGACGTCACAATCTTCGCAACGTATTTACCGCCAGACGGAGGGTACACAAGCAATGGAACTCTTTCAAAAGGTTATGAAGTGGGTAGAAGCGGTGGAACAGTCCCGCAGAAGGCCCCCGTCATCCCAGGCCCCCTCGGGTCACGAACAAAGCACGACGGGGAGGAGTTTTGAGGCCATCTTCGGCCGCCCTTGGGGGCCCTGACCAGTCCTCGAGACCGTGAAAAAGCAACTCAGGACGAAAAGCGGATCCCGGGGCTCCAGACCGCTTGGTTTCCACGTCATGACAAGCTCATGACGTCGGGGGTCTGGATTCCGCGCCTGCCCGCCTGGCCTGGCCGCCGGGGTCCGCCCGCCCAGTTCGGCCACACCAAAAAGTGGCCCGCTCGCCGGAGTGACCTCTTCGGCGCGGGCACGCTGGGGTCCCCAGGTGACCGGGTGCGATGCGACACCGCATCGTTTTGCGCGCTCGGTTTGGGCCTCCCCGCGGCCCCCGACCCCCCGAAAGTCGACGGGTCACTTCGGCGAAGGGTCACGTAAAGAGTAACCTCTTCGGCGCGGGCACGCTGGGGTCCCCAGATGGCCGAGTGATGCGACACAGCAGCGTCTTGCGCACTCGGGCCTCCCCGCGGCCCCAGACCCCCGAAAGTCGAAGGGTCGCTCCGGCGAAGGGTCACTTTGGCGTGGGCACGCTGGGGTCCCCAGATGGTTGAGTGCGTTGCGATGGCAGCGTCTTGCGCGCTCGGTTTTGGCTTCCTAGGATGTGCCACAGCTATGTTTGGATGCCTGGGCGCCGACTTGAAGCAACATCGGAAGCTCATGTGAGGATGGTTGCCACTGGTGCCGCCATTTGCAAGAAATCGTGGCCTCCGGGGCGCGAATCCGGTGTAGGTGTAATTTGCAAGGTTCGTCGCCTAATGGGCGTAAGTCCGCCTCTTGGGGCCCTCGTTGGACGCTCTTGGGGCGCCCTTGGGCGCACTCGGGGCCCTCTTGGGGCTTTTTGGGGGCGCTCTTGGGCACTTTTGGGGCCGTTTTGGGGGCCTCTTGGGGCTCTCTTGGGCTAGGTATATTGAGGCAATATTGAGGCCGAACAGGTGAGAAGGCACAACTCCTTGATTTCCAATGGGGCGTTCAAAGGGTTTGGGCCTCTTAGTGGGGGGGTCCTTGGGGGGCTCCGAGAGCTTGGAGCTGTCTTGCGGTCCTCTTGGGCCCCCTTGGAGGCATGTCGGAAGCTATCTTGAACCATTTTCGGTTATCTTGAGCCGCCTTGGACGCCATTTTGGAGCATCGGAAGCCCTCTCGACGCCGTGTTGGGCGAAACAAGGTCCCCCGAACACGTCGCGAACACCCACGAAAAAACACACTGGGATGGGACGGGGAGGGTACCCCTTGACGAATGGAAGAGAGTTCAGGAAGAGGAAGGAGAAAACTCTTTAGACTACCACCGTCCAAAGGGCTGGTGTGACTTACCAGAGATCGCGGCCTCGGGGACGCGAGTGCGTGGTAAGTTGCGGGGGATCGTGGCCTCCGTGGCGCGAATGCGGCGCGGAGGATTACTCACGATGGCCTCGGGGGCGCGAGCCGCGCTTGACTTACGAGGGACGTGGCTTCGGGTGCCCGAGCCTGGCGTGCTTTACACGAAGGTCGTGGCCAGGGGGGCGCGAGCCTTAGGCAAGGGCTTCGGAGGTCCTGGCCCTGCCGGCGCGAGCCTGGCGCAGTTTGTCAGAGATCGCGACCTCGGGGCTGTGAGCCTTGCCTCGTGTGCTACGGGATTCAGGAGGGAAAAATACACAGACACAAGTAATCGTCGATTCCCCAGAAAATATGGGAAACTATGGGGACTGGAGGGGAAGACCAAACCCCAGAAAATATAGGAAAATGTGGGGAATCATTTTATTTGTGTGTGTGTGTTTGTTTGTGTGTCCCAGGGCCCCTTCAGAGATAGGGCTCTCTCGGCGGCGTGGATCTTCTGCACGGTGCACGGGCTCGTGGCCTCGGGGGCGCGCGAGCCCACCGTGACTCGCGGGCGGGCTCGCGTCCTGAGGGGGGGGCGCGGAGATCTTGGGCTGCCCAGCGGCGCGGCCTCGAGGGCGCGGATATCTCTTGCGGGCTCTGCCGTGGCC